TAAAAAATAATTAGGTGAGCAAATAAAGTTATAAATTATACATTTTCTTCAGAGGCCCCCCTAACATTGGAGGCCCCAGGCCATTGCCTTAGTGGCTTTACCCCAGGGCCGGCTCTAGTACAAACAATAGTTTAAGTTTTGGGGAGTTTGATAAGTGCATTTTACACACTTATTTTACTGTCAAAATATGAAAAAATGTTTATTAATATCTTGGAATATGGTTGAACTCTCTGTAATTTATGTTTTTTAGGACAACATGATGAATGTAGCAAAATTGGGAAGAAATAAGAAAAAATGGATCAAAATTAAAGAAAATAAAAGTTTAGGGACTAAATCGCAAATATCTAAAATTTGGTTCGGAAGACTAAATGGGGATTTGAAAGAGTTGGAAGCTAATTGGTTGAAGACAAAAGGCTTTGGATGTAGAATTAGAGAAAAGAATGCAAAAATAGCGAAAAATGGCATAATTCAAAGTTTAATGACCAAACTGCAAATACTAATTATTTGATTCGGACCAGAAATATACGTTGAGGATTTCTAGGAGACAATTGAAACTTAAAAAAGAATGGAATATGATCAAAATATTATCAAAGTCAGTTTTTAATTTGCATAAAATATATTTCAGATTTTTAGCTGAAGATTGATACTCATTTTTGGCATAGTAAACGTCCAAATTTGGAGAAATTTATTTATATCAAAGTTCCAACTCTTTGAGTTATCTTTTTAAATCACTTTGAATCTCCTAAATCAAATATCGGGAGAAAAATACTGATTGTTGTGCACCGATAAAAAATCTGCGTGCGAAGACAACTTACTTTATTCGATTGGTACTCTTTTGAAAATCAATTTGGATGTGATTTTCATCTAATTTTTGACTCCTACAAATACTTAACAACATAATATATATTGAAAACACCTCCATATACTTTTCTCTCATCTTTTGGCTCAAGAATTTCATAAAAAACTAAACAATTTGGTGAAGGGAGTAACTCATTGGATTTGGTGATT